CTTTTAGAGTTCAGGATTTGGTTTGGAGTTTCGCTGTTGGGATGGCTGAAATCGGCGGTTCCTCCCTGGTTGATTTCCAAGTTTTTTTTATTTCGATGCTTTTTCCTAGTCGTATTCTAGTTTCTAGTTTTATTTCCGAGATTCCGTCTTCGACGATCGTCGGACAAGGAATCCAATCGCCTCGTTTGCAGCAATGGAAAAAAAAAATAGGCCTCACCATTCTGATGTCGATGGAGAGGAGGAGATGGGTCCGATCCGAAGAAAGCCGATACTCCACTGCGTTGAACTGCCGCTGCAACGAGAGAGAAACAGAAGTTGGATGACAGGAAAACGATGATGATTCCATTTCCTTTGGCTGGCCCTGAGGTCAGAGACGCATGGCCGGAGAGCGGGATTGGCAACATTCCAAGGGCGATAAAGTATTTTTCTTCCAGGGAGGGCTAGCTGCCCCCCTCTAGCTGCCCCCCTCTAGCTGCCCCCCTCTAGCTGCCCCCCTCTAGCTACCCCCCTGTAGCTAACCCCCCCCCCATAACCCCCCCCCCCCCCCCCCCCCCCAGACTCCAGCCTCTACATAGTTTAAACAAATGATGGAGACCTTTTAGCAAAGGTCAGCTTTACGGATCGCCTCTTCATCCATTAATTCATCCGTCATTTTTGAATTGCACGTGCACAACATATCCAATCATTTTAATTTATAAAAATGTAAATTATGCACACGATTTCTCAGAAAAATATTAACACCCAATTAGTAAATCTTCACTCGACCCATTCCCCTCAGGAAATGGAATCCGTGGACGAAGGCAGCGACTACAACTGGTGGGGCATCCTCATCTCCATCCTCGTGATCGGCTTCATGTCATCCCTGATCCTCCTGGCCGTGTACCTGGTGGCCCCCAAAGGGGGGTTCTACACGCCGTCCGTTCACGTGGGGAGGAAGCTCACCTTGAAGGATGTCCTCACGCCGGAGCTCGCACCTAAGCCCTTCAACGGTTCCTGGCTCACGGGTAAAGGGTCCATTTAACTTGCTCCTCCTTGTCCTCCACTTGCTCCTCCTTGTCCTCTACTCGCTCCTCCTTGTCCTCCACTTGCTCCTCATTGACCACTACTCGCTCCTCCTTGACCACTACTTGCTCCTCCTTGACCGTTAACACCTCATCCTTGTTCTCTACTTGCTCTTCCCTGTTCAATACCTGTACTTCCTTGCCTGGGAAAGATGAGCGGGGGAAAATGTTGTTTTGCAGATTCCGAACTGCTGATGCAGAATTCGGAGGGAGATGTCTGCCTGAACGACGTAGAGACGTTCGAGTGTCACCTCCTCGTGCCGCGTCGCGTCCTGGTGAGCGACACATCGTGCCATTTCAGCGGGAAAAAGGTCGCGACGAGGAAAAGCAGCCGCTGGGAAAAAAAAATCGTTTCTCCTCGCTTTTTGTTCGCGTGAGACGGGAAATGAATTCGAGATCGAAGTCGGCGAAAATTCGAGTCATGTCGGGTTCGAATTAGTTCTCGGATGAAAACTCGAAAAAAAGCCGTGTCGGCCAGACCCAATTCTGCGTGGCAGCTTCAACAAGTTCGTGGAAACGTTCTAGAACTCCTTTATTCCCTTACCAATTCCTTTCCTTACCGATGCCAATTTTGGTGGAGATCCTATATCGGGCCTTGGGAATGCAGGATAAAATTTATTCGTCATTACCATTACCAGCAATTTTTTAAGGATTTTTTTTTATTAAGTGGCCTCTTTGTTCTCTCCAACAGAAAAAAGTGGGGCATATATTTTTAAATAAAAAAATGCGAATAGCCATAAAATATTTCGTGAACGCGGGGAAAATGTAGCACGCCTTAGGAACCCTAGAAAAATCGCCTTAATCGTCGTAATTAGAGATATCCCGGCTGTCGAAGAGCACACGAATTTTCACTCTCTTGTCCCCTGAAGGATTTCTTGCGCTGTTGCTCCTTTTCTCGCTTGACCTTGATGACCTTCATCAACATGAACTGTGGCCTTGATTCATGCCTGATGCTCCATAAAGAACAGAACGCAACTTTCGAATGCCAATTCCCCCATTTTCGCATAAAATTGTATGGCACTCTGGATGTTACGATATTTCGTTTTTGTTTTCAGATGCCTTGCTTATTTTCGTCAAAGTCCACAGTAAAAAAAAAAATAATATTAAAAAATTGGGGAAGAAGCCAATAATTAAGGACATTGCCCGCGGCACTCCCAAGACTCAAAACAGGATCCCCGTTCAAATTGGCTTCAATGAATAAAGGAGTCGAGCTCTTCCCCCTCAAAACTGCTTATTTTTAGCATTTTTTGAGCCAGTGTTTCCAAACACCACAAAGAGACTTAGGACACACGAATTCTAACCAGACGGTTGAGCAATCGTTTCTGAAGCCGCCGAAGAAACTCGATCGAATGCCGAATAAGAAAAAAAGAGAATCCCAGAAACGAGTTAATTTAATTGCAATGACCTTGACATCGCAATTCGAAAATTGGCACCAAAACATTCCGAGTTCCTTCATTTGTCCAGTTGAGTTGAGATTGTGGGTGGAGATTATGGGTGGAGATTGTGGGTTGAGATTGTGGGTGGAGATTGTGGGTTTTGCGTTATATGCAAGTACGGGATTTTCCACGGTTTTAACATCTTCGGCTGAAAGGCATCAGGTTTAGAGAGACTCAACTCGGATCATCGTAATCCCCGGATTCAGGAGTCGATCGGCATCGATTCCGAAGGATTTTTTCACTTTCCCCCTCGAAGCGCCGAGACTCAGCCAGTTGTAGGGGGCTCGTTCCAGGAAGGAAAGGAAATTACTGCAAGCGGGGCTAACGAGATGTAATGAGACGAGGGCAAACAGAGGGCCTTGTGTGTGCATGGCGAGGGCAATCAAGGTCTGGCTCTCAAAGCACACTGTCGTCTCTCTTTTTTTCTCTCTTTGATGAGAGGGATTTTCACAAATAACGCGTGCGGCCCACGAGCGGACACTAGCGACATCTGATGAGTTTCCGGAGGAATACGAACCTGTTGAAGGAGGGTGGCCTTGAGGGATGGAACGGCGTGTCGGTCCTTGCGTTCGTCGTCGCCGGATCCGCCGGGGGCGGGGGAGGCCTTGTCCTTCCGCATCGCGTGGAGGTGCTGAGGGGGAAAGGGAGGTGCGAAGGAGGTGCTCAGGGGGCGCGAGGCCGGAGTCTCTCTGAGGTTTCCATATCGACCCGCAGTGCAAACAGGAGAAAATCGGAGCGAGGCACAGACGGAACCGACGACTCTCCGCACAATGATGCTGGATCCGTATTGCAGATGAGTGCAGGGTGGGAGAGGCGGGGGGGGGGAGGGGGGGGGAGGGGCAAGGGGGGCACCTGCGCAGGCGGGGTACGTGTCAATCTTTCATGTCTCCGTGATTCCACAGCTCACTCCCGGGCATCGATTCGCTCGGCGTTGAAGGTCGGGGTTTCTCGAAGTTCGTGTTCACGGTGGAGCGGGCGGGATTTTATTTTTTTTGCGCGCGAATTTCGGGGAGGCGATCGCGGGGCCGACGGGTAATTGCAAAAACGCTCGAGTCCATTTTCCGTCCGTTTTCGAAGCCGACGAGGAAAAGTGCGCGGAATGGGTCCGGAGCGGAGGAAACATCGCTTTGGCAAGGCCTCACGAAATAGTATAAAAAGGCGAGCGAGGAAATATCTGTACTTAAAAAAATCGGCGGAAGAATTGGCAAAATTGCCTCGGTGGTATTTTCGGCGCGAGACGACAACGTCATTTCACGGGGAGAAATATGGTAAACACCCAGTTTCTGGCCCCGCTGACTCCCACAGGAAGTGGAGACACCGGGAAATGCTAGTAATATGCTCTCGCACGGGGAAGATGTCGATAGAATGCTTAACGAATTATGCTGGATTTAAGCCTCACTGTTCAAAGCACTGGGTGCTTACCCTAGTCCTCTTCGTGATCCGGCTATCACTTACCCAAGTTTCACCTACCCAAGCTGCATTTTCCGATGAGACCCGGTCCGACGCTACGATATGCGAGAATCTCTTCGGAATCGAGCGTTTTCCCAACAAAATCCGCTCGAACCTTCCCGTCCGCTGGCCAGGCCGATACTGCGGGGCTCTCGCTGCTGTGACGTCACTGTGACGTCACTCTGGAGGTTGTGAGGTCTCCAGTGTCGAGAGTCAGGGTTTATTGGATTTGGAGTATGGAGTTGGAAAAATAAAATGCGATCGGGTCGAGAGTTTTTTTTTGTTTTTGGATTCTCTCGTTGCATCTGTTCGGTCGGCGAGCCCGATTGTCGGTTCGAAATGCCGCTTCTCTGAGTTTCTTCGTGCGACTGGGATCTACAAGTATGAATGTTTGCAGTGCTGTTCTGGAATAATATATAATTATGTGTATATATTTCGTGGGTTTCTTATTTTCGCGGTTGAGTCACGTATATTTAACGGTACGCTCATTTTGGTTACTGTGGACCCAGAAATTGAATTGGAGCGGATCTTATCGTTCGAAGGAATGCAGTGAAGAGATTTTCAGCGAGGATATTTGGGCTAGCATCTCGCTTGAAAACGCATTTGCAGGAAGTTCGTTTTAATGTTCAACAGTGCAATAAGAATATAGAAGGCCGATGGGGATAAACATTTGAATAAGTAGACTGGAACGTAATAAACTTACAGAATAACGAAAACAAATATCCGTAAGAATAAGAATACTGTCGCAATCTTGCTTGAATAAAATATTAATATGGGGAATAAATGTATTATGGGACACATGTGAACAAGATTCATTCACTGAGCAAGCTCCGAGGCATTCCCCATGAAGTGACGTGACGCCGACGAGAGATTGGGGTTTTGGCAACCCTGTCGGAGGCATGGCGATGGGGAGAAAGCAGGTGGCTTACGTGTCCATCGGGTCCGTGCGGCTGGGTTCCGAGGGGCGTCGGTTGTTGGCTGACGCGTTCTGTGGGGTGCATGCGGATTTGTGTTGATGGTTTTGAGATTGAGAGAAGTTGTGTTCATGTTTGTTTTTTTTTTGTGGCAGATACGAGCGAGGCTTAGGCCTAGGCTACCCTCAGGATGAATCTAGGCCTCGCCTCATTACGGAAGCATGAGTTCCTCTGCCTTTTCTGGCTTCTGTCGTGTTTCGTGGAATGGTCTTCGGCGTACTTCGTCACCGTTGATGCCCACGCAGAGGAATGCTTTTACGACAAAGTGAATTCTGGCACCAAGATGGGTCAGTTTACCTTTTATGACAGGTTGACCTGATTTCCCGGTTTTTGGAGGATACAAAGAGGCAGGATAATGAACTAAAATCCATTGACCTCGCTGAGAGAGCACAAGATGTATAGCAATCAATAAGTCTTACAGATTGAACTTTCATTCCCTTCTGGTGTCCCAGAAAATGCCAAAATCTTGCATTGCATGGTTTGGGCATTTTCCAGAAAGTGCTCCAGTTTTTTTTTTCTGAAAAATATGTTTTCGCCCTATTTTATAACCATGAGGATTGTCATCATGGTTTATTCCCTTGAAACTGCTAGTTTGAAATAGGCTTAACAGCTTTTATTAACAGCTGCTTTCTTTTGAAATTCTAGGCCTCATGTTTGAGGTGGCAGAAGGAGGATTCCTGGACATTGATGTGCGAATAGTTGGCCCTGATAGTCAGGCCATTTACAATGGGGAACGAGAGACAAATGGGAAATACACATTCACAGCTCACATGGATGGGATTTACACATACTGCTTCAGCAACAAGATGTCCACTATGACGCCCAAGGTTGTTCTGTTTGACATGGAGATGGGAGATTCTCCCAAGACTGAAGTGGGTGGTAATGGTAAGTTGCACCCATGATCCTAGTAATTTGTTAACAGTCATGTCAGAAGCAGATGTGTCAGGAACCACATAAAGTGTGGACTGCTGGGGATTTATAGTCCAGCCAAGCTCTCCTTGCCAGCATGGCAGTGGAAGCTTGCTATGCCATATGATGCTGCATAAACAGCCAAGTGTTAAGTGGGGACACAAGGGAAGTGTGCAGGAGTAGGTCATGAGAGATGGCATGAGGTTGTAGGACTATAAGGTAGGATTCAACAGCACTCTATGAGTACAAAATTAACTAAGATTGCTTGGTGAAATTAGGATGACTTGTTCTAAAAGGGAGTAATGACTGGGTGGGAAGCAGCCATAGTTGCATCTTTAGTTTTTCATGAAATGGTTTCAGCTAGATGAATTGTCTTAACTTTGTCATGTTCTCTGAATTTGAGTTTGCTGCACACTTCTTTTTGGGACTGTTCAGTGAACATGTGAACCCAATTATATGTGAAACTTAATGCTTAACCAATGGTAGAAAAGTTTTCTATCCCATAATATATACAGGAATCTTGAACTTGCAAGTCAGGTTATTCATACACTTATTTTTTGCAATTTCCTTGGGTTCAGGTGTCTGAATGCTCCCCATTCCTTATGCTGTCACTGCATGAGGGCCAATGGAATGCTTTGTAATTCAAAAGAAAAGTCTTGTTCAAGATAGGAATCAATTTGGATCATTACTCTTTTTCATTGTATCTTGAGCTTTCCCTGTTCCCTTTATGCAGCAGACCAAAATAAGCTGGAAGATATGATCAAAGAGTTGTCTACTGCCCTCATGGGTGTGAAGCATGAGCAGGAGTACATGGAAGTACGAGAGCGTATCCATCGAGCCATCAATGACAACACCAACTCCCGTGTCGTTCTCTGGTCGATCTTTGAGGCCTTGGTACTTGTTGCGATGACCCTCGGCCAGGTCTATTACCTCAAGCGATTCTTTGAGGTGCGACGCGTCGTCTGAGATCAAAGGTTGTACATGTGTTCAAGGCTCCTTGCGCCTTCTCCCTTGTGACTTGTCACTGCTCTTCATTTCTCTCAGATATTTATGAGTATACCAGATTGAAATTTGTGGATGTGACCATGCTTGATTGAAAATATAAATGAAGAGATTTGTTTTCCCAATCTTCAATTGAATTCCTTTTTTATGGGTGTAGTCCCACATGAGCTTTACATTACAATGGCATTAAGTAATGTTTCTGATTTTTAACATGCTATGAAAATTTGAAATACCAAGAATTGTTGCTGCTTTTGAATTGGCAAGTAAACATGGTACTCAATGCAGGAAAGAGAAAATTGAGAAGGCATTTATATTCACCCACTGTCAGCTCAGTTGACAGTAGCCGCTGATGGCTCTTCATGGGCCTTAATTTATTGATGTGATGAAGAGCTATGCTTACTCAAGGACCATAGTCAACCCTTTCTTTTTGAATGATTGACTAACCCTGACAGGTTCACTCCTTAGTTGGTTGTGATGCCTTGATGTTGCATGCTTCATGCGTAAATGAACAATGAATGGATTTCGTCCATTGATACCTGCCCGTTTCTTGTGCCTCACTGCTCACACTGTCATTCTCATAACTGCTATTACTCACCGGGTGAGTTGGAAGGTTTCTGTGATGTGTATTCAGACATTGGGACCCATTCTTTTTCTTGTCACCTTTGACTTGAGGCTCACGGTTGTCAGAGACAACCCTTGGCTTTTGCATGATATGACTTGGGACTTTTTCAGGAAGAGAATGTTACTGCATCCCTACCATGGCATGTCACTGATCCCGATGATGTCAAGGCTACAGATCAACTGTGAGTTTCCACCTCTGGCATGTGGTGATGGATATAATTTGATAAGGGGTCATTTGTATTTCCTGGCTTTTGTAGCTTACTGGTTGGATTGGTGATGGGACTGGTCTGCTGTGGGCTGGAGTTGATTGGTTTCATTTCGGGATTGTCCATGTTTTTCCCAAGCCAGTCTCTCTTGTGTATCCTTTTTTGATAACCCTCATTTTTAATTGCAAGCTTCTCTGCCAACTGTTCAGGTGGCATGGGATTCATTTGATCTGAACATCATAAAAATTTTTTTGCAAATTTGGTCCTTTATACTAAGCTGGCTCTCACATCATTGGCCTTGACTCTGTCATGACAGCTGTTCTGTGTCATGGGATAGGTGCCATTGCCATGGCCATCTTCCTCCTCGACAAATGGGATCTCTACTATTATTGGTGGCACTTTACCCTTTTTGCTGCCTTCCCCTGTCTCTGCGAGATATTCTCCCTCATTCGCATTGCACTCCTTCGAGAAGGATATTAGGACATCCCAGTGAGATAATGTAATTACACGCGATGTAGACCATAATCCGTCCATCTCAAAGAACCATCTAGTCATTGTTTGAGTTCTGCCTTCTCATGATCTCTGATGCTTGTGATATATTTTTGTCCATCAAGGGCACTCTCATCTCAGTGACTGACAAATAAAGACCTTTTTCATATTCATACCATCATAAATTTTTTCAGTTAGATGGAAGTGACATACCAATCTACATGGATTTATTCACATTATGACAAAAGTAACACAGACTGATGAAAAAATAATAGCAACAGACAAACTGTGAACCCTTGCAAAAATCTGAACTCATAATAGAGAATATATGGTAATAATGTAATCTTTTCAATAACCCATGTAACCATTTCTCCCGTTAATATTTCCTTCCCCTCTTCTCTAATTATCCTGTCATGTTCCACATTCTATGGTTAAGTGACCTTCACAGCACTCAAAAAGAACCTCTTGCTATTGGGGTTCAATAGTAGCAATTCTACATTTCAGTAAAAGTATTAGTGTATCTTTTTGGAGATATAAAGATGAGTCAACTCTGGCTGCGGTAAAAATTAGTGTAAAATTCTCTGTGAAATAATAAAATGGAGAATTGTCCTAATAAAGTAATCTAAATGGGCTAATTACTTTTGATATGCAATCAATATTTAAAATTTACCTTGTGTTGAAATGCTTGCCAGCTTTTATTCAGCACCCCTGCCTAAGTCGTGCAATGCCCATTTGGAGGTGAATTAAAGGTGCTTACAGGTGGATCATTCCACCTCAAGGGATGACCTGAGATTGACCATCTCAGAATTCTATTAATTTTTCAAGCTATAGTTGAATCCAGCTTTTACTTGACAGAGGGGTTCATGAGTCTAAGAGGTTTGTTTCTTTTCTGCAAGATGGTGCTGTATCCTGATAGAGGGTGCTGTTGTTTTCATGCCATACCTTTCAGCTACTATGAACAAGTTTTGACTCCCAGATTCATGCTACATTAAGCAAATTTTAGATGCCTTACACAGCAATAATTCATTGGCCTGTGTTTCATGACAAGGCTGGCTTCTCCACCTGGATGATTGGTCTCTGCTGACCTTTTTACAGAATTGATATCCATGAGCTTTTTCTTCTGTTGCTTGGCTCTGAAATTTTTTGTCATAAACAATTTTTCAAATGGTGAAATTCAAAATGAAAAGTGGTACATTTCCTGAATATAAATATATAACTAACATGGTCATTTTGTTAGCCACACTTGTTCATTCTTTTTTCTTCCTCCCTCATATAGCTTGCCAAATCTTTGCCATCCTATCAATTTAGACTTAGTACTCCTTTTTTTTTTAAGGATAGCTTGAAAGAAATGCAGAAGACTGAAGGAACCATTTCCATGTTACCAAAAATTTGTTTGCAAGGATGAGTGAAATAAAATATGGAAATCCATTATGGCTGTAATAAATGCCTTGGACCTTTTATGTCCTGAAAATATATACATTCAGAAAGTTAGAACAAATATCATTGTGTTCAGACAGGAATCAAAAGTCAAGGACATTCATAGATCTCTATTAATCATTTCAATAAAAAATGTTTTAGATACCTGTGAGTGTTTCCCATGAAAATTCTCGAAGTAAAATACCTATTGTTTAAATCTCTTTTGCTTTCAGCCTTGGGCACCCATTGCCTGCACTGAACGAGTTTCGATATTTCTCTTGACCTTCTGCCATTTGGGTAATTCCTTTGTTACGATTATCACAAATTACATCAAGCTCTGATTTCTTTTTATTTGTGTTTTTAAAATCATGCAGTGAATTTTGAGTGCGAAGGAGGTCTCACGCAATGGTGCTTTCTCGGTATATTTATTTTACAATGGGAGCCTGGCTCTGGGGAAGCTGAGAAAATCAAAGAAAATTTTTTTCTTGCCAGTGGAAACTGTCCCGAGTCTGAAAATATGAAGAAAAATTATCCTTTCAAAGTCCAAATGGTGATGATTTTAATTTTTGAACTAGATGCCTTGGACAATACTGCTGCTGTTCTTATGTCAAGGCATAGGATCTGACAGCCACAGATATCTCATCTTGCAAACATTCGGAAATCGAGCCATGCACGGGACATTGCACACCATTGCCGCGGCTCTAACGAATCGGAATCATTCAATCTCCCTTTTCTCTCCTCACACCCCTCGCAACGTCCCCGGCATAGAGGAGGTCTGCCCCCGGAGTCTCTGGGGCTATTATGAGGAGCGCTTCCCAAACGTCTTTGAGCTTGACGGCGCCTTGGCCAATTTGAAGTTTGTCACCGGTGTGTGGCGTTCCATTGTCCAATTTTGCACGGATCTTCTCGCATCGCCTGAGTTCGAGAGTCTTGTAGAAAAACTGAAAGTTAAAAAATTCGATGCCATCATAATCAACGGGTTGTACAATGACTGTGCTTTGGGATTCGTTCACGTCCTTGGGATTCCATTCATCTATGTGAACACTGGCGGTTCTTATCCGTGGACGGACGAGGCAGTCGGGAAGCCGCTGTACACTTCTTTCGAGCCATTCATCTATTCTTCGTTTGGCGATCGGATGTCCTTCCTCGAAAGAGCGGCCAACACGATTCAGACTCTGGGTACGAAGCTGCTCTTCAAGCTCCGAGTGAGATGGCCCATCGAAGCGCTTTGGCGGGCGAGGGAGACTCGCATCCCCTCCTTCGATGAGCTCTCGCGTGAAGTCGCCCTTGTTCTGCAGATGTCGCATGTTGCCGTCGATTATCCCAGGGTGGGCATGTCAAATGTGGTCGACGTTGCTGGTCTGCAGTGCACGAATGCCCGGCGTCTGCCAAAGGTGGCTGTCCCAGAAAGCGCAGAAACTGCTTTTTCTGTTTTGCTCACTCCCGTGTTTCCTTCCAAAATTGGTTTTCCTTCTTGGCAGGACGTGGCGACATTCCTGGGCGAGTTCGATGGATTTGTTGTGTTTTCGATGGGTAGCATGAAAGGCTGTCAGAGTCTCCCCTCGCATGTCAAAACTGCATTTCAAGTCGCTTTCCAAGACATGAAGGACCTTGGGTTTGTGGTGCTCGGAGGTGACATGAATCTGCGGGGGGAGAACATCTTTCATGCATCATGGCTCCAGCTTCAGGATCTTCTTGGTTTGGTCCCACCGAATTTCTCCTGCATCACTTTGAAGTTTGTATCGAGAAAATGTGCAATTTTGTTCAGCAGGTCACAAAAAGTGCAGAGGACTCATCACCCACGGAGGACGCCAAAGCACGACCGAAGCCACCTGCCACGGCATCCCCCTCATCGGACTCCCCGTCTCTGCCGATCAGTGGTTCCTGCTCCGCCGAGGAAGAAAGGCAGGAGCCGTCGCTGACGTCCTCGACTGGCGACGCGTCTCCTCCCTGCAAGTGTCTTCTGCCCTTGGGAATCTCTCGCATCCAGCGTGAGTCCCGAGACTTTACCGTGATGTCGGCACTGGGAATTCCATGCTCGATGTGCAACGATCGTCTAGAATCCAGGAGAGCGCGATGCGACAGAAGCAGCTGATCCACGATCGCCTTCGTCCCCCCCTGGAAGAGGCGACATTCTGGTTGGAATACGTCGCGAATCACGACGGGGCAGGCCATCTCAAGTCGTCCAGTCGGCATCTCGGCTCGATCGCTCTGTATTCATACGATCTTTTGGTTATTGGTTTCTCTTTTGTTATCCTTACGTTCCTATTCGGTCTTTTTACTTTGAAGCGTGTGTTTCACTGGGCATTTTCAGAATAGTGTCATGTAATGCCTGCCTCTCTGTGATTGATATTTTTAAATATATTGATGCAATCCGTTTGATGTATGAATATGATATTGAAGTGAATGCAATGACCTCTGAAGCTCACTATGGGGGCTAACGCCCACCCTTTTAGCCCCTGTCTAGCCCCCCCCCCCCCCCTCTTTTTGTTACAAACATCCTCGGAATCCTTTTTTTTTTCAACTGCAGCCTCTCCAAAAAAA